TTTCTGTGATTTTTAAAAAAAAATCTTTGTGACATTTGCACTTTTTTAATAAAGCAAATTAAATATGAATAATGTTCTTACATTTTAATAGTATAAACAAATGGTCTCGTGTTCACTTGTGGCTGTTACATGGAATTAACCATTTTGATTAAACCACAACAGATGAGAATATAGTAAATTAATTTTGAATATGACTGCAATTTCAGTAAACATTATACATTTGTACTGCAGGCTATGAAAAAAATGCCATGATCTTTTGTGAGGATATAGTAAGACGCTGATTTACCAAAGGAATCGAACATTTTCATTCAAACAATTGATTAAATATTCATTTCAGTTATTGAATCATGTTATAAGCAAAATCCCTGTTACTTATTTCAACTGCACATTACTTTTTTTTTTAATGAATAGGAAATAGCTTCTATCATGATTGCATAACTGAAGAGAAAATTCATCCTATATATATATATATATATATATATATATATATATGCCTCCACCCCAAAAAAGTGCATTTCAGCATTTCACGTCAGCCTGTTTCACCTTGTAGGTCTATGATCATAAACTGACTTAGTAGGTAGAGGTATAGTGCTGGTAAAAAGACTTTAAGTAAACCTGTCATGACATGATACTGTTGCTCCAACCAGCTGCCAAATGCTACAGAGTTCATTTTGACAACAAACTACATTCTTCTACACATACAAATCACTGTCCAAGTCCACACAAACTGATCTCTTATTTCAATAAGCCTGGATGAACCCAATTAATGTTTGGAATAAAACCTCACTTTGGACTCTATTTTGGTTGTGTGTTTCAGATTTAAATATTGTCTTCACATCCCAAGATTTTTGTGGTAGTTCCTTGGTGGAAAGAAGCAGCCCATATACATACAACATTGTTAAAATATATTTGGAACACAAAAAAGCATCACTTACCATTATCCTAAGGTTTCCAAGCCATCAGTTTACTACTTTAAGCATGACAGAATAAAAGGTTGCCATTTCTGGCATTCTGAAGAAAATACTAGTTGCCTGAATGTCATGCCAACCCATTGGATTTAATAATCTCTGAATCAGATACAAGATACTGTAAATCTGGTAAGTAATATAAGATATTCCTTATTCCTGTTCTGGATTTGTATTCTTGTTCAGGATGAGTGACTCAAAATACTGGAGCAAGAGGATCAGCATGAGAGTCAGGCAGCTAACATCTTTAGAAAAAGGCCAACAATGGCGTCCTTCATGTTTCTCTATTGATAGGTATAGCCTAAGGGCTGACTTCAGCTTGAGGTCTGCTGTTACACATATTAGCCAGAAAATGGCATACTTGCCTATTCATTTTATTAATATTACAAAGAAAACAAAACAGACAATGAGAATTGGTTTAGAAGAATTCCATATTTTTTGGAGTTGCGTAGAAATAGGTGACAATCTGATCGATTCCTATAGACAGCATATTCAGTGGTCTCACCTCACTCTTAAAATGATTGTAAATGTTCAAGTTTTTCCTCTATGGCACCTTAATATTTGAATATATCCAATTCTGGACTCAATCAATAAGGTAGCATACACATTGCTTTGTTCTCCCTTTTCCTCCTGTGTAGTTATTTACAGATACTGTATATCATTTTTTCTATTAAAATTCCTTCACCCCTTTCTTTTTTATGTCCCCTCCTTTTTTCTTACAGAAATGGGCTGGAAGTTTTGTAGAGATTTACTGATCCCCTTCTTTTCATCCTATACACCCTGCCACGGGGCAGTTAGTGGGAATTAGTAAGAGTGTAACTGATACTTCTGCTGGTACATGTTACTGTATCGGACTTCGTTATTGTACCTTTCTTTAGATGAGTCTTGTAAGATGCTTGTGTTTTCTTTTCCCTAGTGGGTTGTGATCGGATAGTATCTATTAGTTGCTAATGTTTGTTAATTTATTTAAGATGAATCATTAATCGTTTTTGACTCTATTAGCATGAAAACAGCTTTATTGAATGTCCTGAGGAAGGAAAAGGCATAGACAGAAGTTGATGTGTCTAGATGAAGTCTACACAATTTTCTTTATGGGGTTATAGCTTTCTAATAGATTTAATATTTTGTAATCAATAAAAAGGATCTTTATATAATATTTTAGGTTGTGAAGTTTCATGTACAACATTGGGTAAGGTATATTTAAAGTCCCATATATTCCCCACAGGGGGGTTTTGGTTGTTTGTTTTGCACCCCAGGTTCCTTCCCTTTTCTATGTGCCACCGCATAAGTCCTTTTCCTATGGTGGCACACATGCAGGCGTAATCCTGAGCTGTGTGCATCTATTGATGCACACAATGAGGCTCGGCCCTGCCCTCACTCAGTCCTCATAGAATTTGATTGACAACAGCAGGAACCAGTGGTACAGCACTGCATTGGGCACAGCGCTGCATTGGGCACAGCACTGGGACCAGATTGGGCTCAGGTAATTATTTAAGGGGGTAGGAGGAGCTTTTTTACTTTTATGAAGAAAATGCTTTAAGGTAAAAACCTTTACAATCACTTTAACTTAGACACTAGTGATGAAAGTTGATATTTGTGCTTAAAACAGATTATTTCGATATGTATTGTTTAAACAAACATTTTTTTTTAAGAGCTTTGTGTAAGGTTACTACAACTATAGTTAACAAGTAAAGCAAAAAAAACACAGGATTCTCTGAGCTGATATTTTGTGAGGATATTTTTCAGTGTAAGGCTTTGTGTAGCATGACAGTTTATATGGCAAGTGTTCTGCTTCTGTAAAATTTTGGTTTTATTGAGGAAATCCAGATTATACCTCTTTTTTAGCATGGGTCAAAGTATGAGCATGTGTACACAGGGGAGGACTCACCATTTGGAAACTCGGGCACTGCCCGTGGGCCTGGGGTCAGTAGAGGGCCACATGAGATGCCCCTGGTACCTTTTTCATAGGCTTTTTTGAGTTTGGGCAAGGACAGAGGGGCCCCATGATCCCCTAATACCTGGGGGCCCCATGAGTTGTCAGTCCCCCCCGTGTGTACAGTAAGTGCTTTCTCAATGCAGTTAAAACTGAACTTTAGGCAAACACAGATGAAATACATACCTCATTTGCATTTCTGTTAATCTAATTCTGCAATTTACACAGATCTTCACTACAGCACAGTCTTGTTTGGCAGGAGAAGAGTTCTGATCTTTCATTGCTTCAGTTTCACTATCACCTACAGGCTTCCTCACCACTCCCACTGGACTGGACAATGAAAAAAGAAGCAGTACATTGATATGCTTATGTCTGTCACACCGAGTGTTCCTTTTTTCAGCATGTCATTTGCACTTGGCTCCTTGTTCTGCTTCTCATTCATCTGCTCTGAGATCTGCTATGCAGACTGTGCAGTAGACTTCAGGAGGCTAATGCAAAGTGGAATTCAAGTACTTACACTGATTCTGTTTTAAAATACTTTTATTAATGTATTACCTATTACAAAGCTGCATTAATTTGTGTCTGTTTTATCTGCCTGGAGTTCAACCACAACAGTCATGATCTGTGTTTTGCCATTGTTTAGAATATATACATTTTGTCTGAATTTTTTGGGGTATGTATCGTTCATTAGTTTTATATCTTCTTGTGTATCACAGATATAGTACATAATGGTATGGTTTCTATATAACTTTAAGTATTTTAGTGTAGAAAGTACATAGAAAGCGGGAATGGAGAAGTCAAGGAATAATTTTGCAAAAATCAAGGAAGTAAAACCTATATCATATAGGCAACTTAGATAGTCATCAATAAATCTCTGGTATACTTCTAATGAACATATATGTGGGTTCATTGATAATTGATGGAAAGAAAACCTTTGAATATGTTGAAACATATTCAATAGTAGAGCAACACATGAAAACTAAAATTAGTTCTATTGGCCTATTCAATAAATCAGTGCAAAAAGACCAAAGTAGTGGTTTTTAGTATAGTACCAAATCGTTCACTCTTTCATATTTATAACTGTAGGAAACTGAAATGCGATTGGTTGCATTAAGTTACCTGTTCTTTGCACTGATGATTGCATCTAGAAGAACTTCCTTAAATAGTATTCCAGCTTACATTTCCTTCTCTCTCTTCTCTCCCCCTAAAGTCGCTGGACACGTAAAAAAAAAAATACCTTTATACTTACCTTTAAACCAGCAGTCTTCAAGTTGGTCTGTGGACATCATGGATCCTTTTTCTTCTCTTCGGTCCTTCCTTCTGGACAACATGAAGGGCAATCTCATAATCACTTGTGAATGCCACTCTGTCCAGGAGTACTGTGGACCTAGGCTGTTTGATGATGCACCCCCATATGGCGTATCCATGATTGTCTTGGTTCACAAGAAGTGGGCATCAAGTGATACTGATGATCATTCAACCCAGTAGAAGACTGGCAGAGGAGGGAGTTGGAGACCATGATGGAAGTGTGGAGAGGGGAGTGGTGCTTTTGGACTTTTTTTTAATACTGGAGGGGCAGGAAGTATTTTTTAAGAAAAAAAGGGTAGAGTTAAACTTTGTAAAACACAACATTTTCTTTTCATTTTATCACACACTGTACACATTAAAAAAGGGTATTTCAATCTACTGCAAAGTATAGGAAACAAGCTGTTTAAAAAAAAAAGCACAATAGTTCATTTGACATTTTCACAATTCTACCTGTGTGTCTAATGCTGACATTTTACATCTGAAGTTTTAATGTATGATGCCAGCAAAGACCATGTCACAAAAGTAAAGAAGTTTAAAAAGTTTGAAGAATAATTTTTGTATATTATGGTAACACTCCATAGAATTAAACTGACAATAAGTGCAACTCATCCAGGAAATGCTCAGAAAGTCTTTTACTATTTCCTGTCTTATTGACTTTTTTTTTACTTTGAAATAACCACGTTAACTTGATCAATTAGGCTTGAAAAGTTCAAATTGAAAAGATTAAAAAAATGTTTGATAACAAATGAATGTTCATTACCCTATAGTTCTTTTTAAAGAAAAACCTGGCAATATCACCATCTTGCCACTTGACTATTATAATCTTCAGTTGTGGCAATTTCTGATGATCTTTCTTCCTTGTGCAGAATGTGGGATTTATGTTCTCTAAGAAGTCTTCTTTCCTCCTTTCTCTTTTCTCTTTTCCTCTGATGTTCTAATTGTCTGGTGTACTGGAAACGTTGTAGAAAAAGGTCCTTAGCATATTCATACAGTTGCATGTCCAAATAATTAAGTTCCTTTATTCTTTCACGAGACCATTTATCAATGTCCACATTTGAAGCCCTGGTAGTATTGAACTGCGTAAATGGTGAAATAAACTTGAGATTGAATGTCCTCTCAAATAGGTATTGTGTTTTTCTTTGAAATTCAGTTAAGCCATAAAAGGCCATATTTTTAAGATTATTTTTGGCACTCTGTAGAAGAATGTCATTCCTTTCACTTTCATTCATAAAAGTTAAATTGTAACAGCCAACAAGGCTAAGGTCTGCTAGCATGCGGACTTGGCGATTGTTGGCTAGGTTGTAGCTACAGTCCATGAATTCTCGGAGTGTGACTCCAGACCAGTCATCTCCAAGATAACATGTTGGCAGCTCATCTGGGGTGGGGCTTCTTCCATCACAAACATGGAGGGATGCCTTCCAGGTTGCGCCTCTCTGGACATGTTTCCATTCACTTAGGTATCTGGACACTGGGTCTCTCAACATTGTTATATAGTAAAAGTTCCTGTAAGGAAGAATAAGGAAATATTATTCTACCATCAAAAATTCTCAGAAAATATTTTTAAACTGTGTGTTTTTCTATTGGACACAAAACAAGTAGATAAAGAGCATGTTCATTCTGTGATCTACGAAGGGCTAATATTTTTTACAAAACCTTACATTAGCAGAAACCAGTTTCTGGAGGAACCAAGGATACAAAATGTTGTCAACAATTCCACAGGAAAGCTTCTCTTTACAGAGTGTTTCGTAGACACATGTAACTGGGTACAGCTGTGGGTAATACTTAATCTAATCATATAATAAGACAACATTAAGAATTTCTGGATAAGTTGCTAAAAATTACAATGTTTTTGCAACATGCATTTAAAATGAAACTATAATATATTTGTGTCAACTGTATTTGATTTTTTTGTTTTATGTCAATCTTTATTATGAATGTAAAATCTTTAGTTCATAATTGAATATTTGGTACAGGGTTCATCCATGGCACTATTATTGCAAAGCAACCTAGCTTATCTAAAAAAGAAAGTTTAAAGAGGAGTTCTAGGCTCCCCCACAAAAATTACAAGTCAGCAGCTACAAATACTGTAGCTGCTGACTTTTACTATAAGGACACTTACCTGTCCAGAGGTCCAGCGTCCCTTTCACCCGGGCTAGTTCTTCACTAGCTTCCGGGTTCCAGGCGCCAGCATTGCAAATAAGATAAACTGGAAGTGCAGCCTTGTGCCTTCACATCTGGTTTCCTACTGCGCATGCGTGGGTCATACTGTGCTTTGTGATTGCTCCCATAGTCTTCTTGGACCTGCAAAGTATCCCAGAAGACTGCGGGGGTGGGGGAAGGAGGAAGAGGGGTGAACTGAGCCAAAAAACTGCCAAATGTGACAGTGGAGAGGGGCAGGTGTAAGCAAGTTTCCCTTTTGGAGTTTTTCTAGCAGCTCAGTTTGTGACTGTCTCTGTAACTGAAACTCCATGCTGTGGGTAAAGTGGAACATCAGTTACTCAGTTGTATAGACAGCGTGTTTCTTTCAGTAAAGCAGTAAAAATTTGCCTGATAAACATGTGAAAAAGTGCCCAGAGCAAACCCATTGGATGAAAGCAGTTAATATAAAATATTCATAAGCAATATTTGTATTTAGCTTATTAAATGAGATCAATATAATGACAGTTTGAGCTTAGGAACTGTTACATTCATAGTATTGTACATTTGGCAAAGTAATTGAGACCTGCATTTCCCTTTAAAAAAATGAGTGCGGTGAACAAAATTCAAAACAGTGCATGAATGGGGAAAGTGCTTTTTAAAATCAGTATGGTGAACCATGTCATAGGACCCAGTGGATGACTGTTCAGTAAGGATTTGACAAAAAAATCAGTTAGTAAACTATATACCAGGGTTTTTGGCATTTTAAGCAAACGTTTTATAGAACTCCTGTTATTTAAGCTACATTTTGTCCAACCTTGGTTACTAGAACAATAAATATGGATAATTATGTCTAAACATCTAGTTTAATTTTTTCATTAAAATGGTTCTAGACAGCATCCTTGCAAAACATATGACATCATGAATTTGCTTGTTTTAATAATCAATAGTCTATTCTCAAACCACTCTTCTTAAAGAAAACAGTATACAGTATTTAAATTAGGTGTATGCCTACAAGATTTAACACATAGCCCCAGTAATAGAAATATACCGTTGATTATTAGTGGTAGATCATAAAGCTAATTTTAGAGGGGGTCACTCTGAATATTAAGTAGTCAGATTGCACTAAATGCATTTGGGTCAATTAACCCAAGGTCAGTGCAGGCATAGACAACAAGTTTAGCTTCAAATCAGTATAGGCATTAGAGTTTGCACTTTTCTCTATTATATGTATGCATATAGAGAAATAAACAAATGCATTAAAATATACATTTTTCAACAGCACAATGATATATTCCATTTGAGTAAAAATGGCCACCAAATTCACCTGGTACATTGGAAATAGACAAATAATTAGTAATTCTACTGTGTGCAAAAAGTATGTAGAAAAACCCTTCAATTTATATTCTTTTTCTTTGGATCTTCTCTGACAACTCAGTGCAGTAAAGTTCTGGAGAAATTTTCCCCTTACTTTCACTGACTTTAACAATAGTATGTGCTAAAAAGACTGATATTTCTAAGAACATGTAAATGAGAGCTGTCATGGCTTGTACAGCTTTAAAGAGTCCTATCTAATACAATAATTACATTCACTGTAGCCATTCCCTTGCTCTCCATTGTGACATATTATAACGTCATAATATTATTGTTCAAACAGTTTTTAAGAAAGTTAAAGTGTTATATAATTTGAATGTCATGGCTGTTTGTACCTAATGTTTAGAAATACAGTATATCTATCTAATGCTGTCAGACTTGTATAGGAGCTATGCATCTAAACATTAAGAGATGCACATACCAGTTAGGGTACCCACAATGAACATTTTGCAAATTTGAACATGCTGTTTCTCCACATTCTACTGGCATGTGCATTAAAGAGACACTGTTGCCTTTCTCATTTAGGGCAAAGTGACAGTTCTCTGCAAAGGGCTTCCTCCTATCCTGTATAACATATTTGACCTGCACTCCTCACCACTCCTTGCTCATCCACAGCCAGCAATGATAGGTGTTTGTGGCTCTGATAATATGGTACTCCATACCAGAAAGTTCTGAGTATTGTCATCAAGTGCAAAGGAGGAAAGATTTGCAGGAGAGGGCTTGTAAGGTGAATATAGGGGTCAGGTGAATCTTTGCAAATACGTTGTCACACTTCAGAGACATTCCCACATGTAGAACAATGCACCTGCTCAATGTGCAATGCATTGCAGTGCTATTAATTGCTCGCACAGTAGAGCACAATGAACCACAGCTCATCTCAATGCACCACAGCTAACCTCTATAAGGACCCATTCACACCAATTGTGGCTTGCAAAATGTGCATTTCTGTGCTCATTAGCCACATCACACAGGATGTGTGCCCTCATTAGAAGTCTGAGGGGGCTATTAGCTGTTATTGCATCTAACAAACATGCACAGGTTGTGACCACCACACAGCATGGTACCACAGTGCCATGAGATTTGGTGCAGTTCATTTTTAAAAGTCATGCCTGACATAGGAATGTGCAAAAACCCTTGCGCATTCTGGTGTGAACAGGCCCCAAGTAGGAATTGTGTGAAAAGAAACAAACAGAGGGCGCATGAGCCTAGTGCATTACCTTCTAAAAATGAGATTTATTGAATAAAAGTAGTATACTCACAAAAGAATAAAATCAAAGGCACATCACAAAAAAGACAGCATGGTCCAATCTTCCTAGATGGTGGCTGTTGGGGGACTGTAGGCCTCCAAATGGCTGACGCGCTTCAAGGCAGAACCTCTTCCTCAGAGCCAAACTTTGTTGTGTTTGTGATGTGCCTTTGATTTTATTCTTTTGTGAGTATACTACTTTTATTCAATAAATCTAATTTTTAGAAGGTAATGCACTAAGCCCGTGTGCCCTCTGTTTGTTTCTTTGCACACAGCTCCTTTGGATTTCCCTGGTCCGTTGAGGGCAGCAAGGCTTGCATTCCCAAAAGTACTCCATGTGGGGTTACTGACATTGTGGAGCTCATCATCCAGTGCAGGAGTTTCAACATTCATTTGCTCATGCTTTTTTATCACATTTCCCAAGTGGGAATTGCCCCAGACTATTGTCACCTGAATAGGTGACTCCCTTGGAAGATACTTTCAATACTCCTATTCTAGTGATCTGTAAAATATCGGATTTCCCCTCACCCTCTGTCCCATTGATAGTGGTCATCATGACAAATAGTGAGGGTATATCTCCTCTGCATGGACACAGAAATGAAAACATGAAAAAATTACTACATGTTCAACACTATCCAAAACAAGAAAAAGAGTTTTGGGCGGAAGTGCTAACTAATCCCTTTAATTACTGACTGATCTGAATTACAAAAGTTACATGGCTGAATAAATTCAAGTATGGCACAGAATTAATAAAAATAGAATCTGTATGGTTTACAAGTCAGTAATTAAAGAGATGAATTGTCAGTGCTAAGTGATAATAGTAAGAGAATTCTTTTAAGAAATGTGATTATTTGTGGGTCATCACTGAGAAGGTCAATGCTGCATACTGAGAACGTTCAGCTTCAGCTCAGCAGCAAGTATAACAGGAATTCTGTGGCATGTGAGACAGGTATAGCTAAATCACAGCAACCTATGAGGTTAATTTTCAGGAATCCCCAAATCACTGAAAGTGTTTTTAGCAAGTTTCAACAACATCCAGACAAGATAATTGTTTGTTGTCTGAGCTCTAAATTAATTAAACTGCCCTTTCTAAGCATAATTTCATTAGTCCTATAAAGGTTTAATGCCGCAAGCAAATATATGATTTACAGCCTTTGAACTGTGTAGCCATAGTGCCATATCTGCTTCATCTTAAAATTGACCAACAATTAAAAAGTAAAAATTTGTTACATTATACGCAACATTTGGAAACGTCTTTTGTGCCCAAACAATATCCGGAAAATGAAGCTTTTCTCTGAAAAATAGCATTGCATTTCTTGGTATGTGAGTGTGCCTAAGCAAGTTTCAGATCTCCAGTGTGAGATCATCTAAGGCACTGCTGCTAGTTCAGATTTGGTGATGTTACTACTGTGCTGCATGCTGGAGAGGAATTTACACTTCATGCACTTCCCTGCTACTGCTTAATTCATTTTGTGGATCTGTGCTTTGTGAACTGCTCCTGCTGCTTTCAAATGTTTCCCTCACAAGTTGCTAGGGGACAACTCTTACATGAGAAACTTAGCCTTTCTCCTTCACCCAGATGGCTGCCTCTACAAAGCAACACAATACAGAACAAGACTTAGTAAGTTAGTAATGAAGAAAATATCTGCTGCAGTGGGCCCATAGGAAATACCGGGGATAGTGCTTTGTCCTCTTTCTGCAGAGTTCAGGTCCTATGCCAGCAGAGCT